GCATAGCAAGTAGGATTCCGATTCAACAAGAGTGACACAAATGTCTTGAACTCTATCTCAGACATCAAACCCACACACAACCTTTTCTTAAGGTGTATTCTAATAGCCCGTACTTTAATGGCCCTGCACGTGTATCCCGGTTTAGTGAATGCTCTAGGAATCCTGCCTCGAAATTCCATAGGAACCGGCCTAAGTTCCACAATCACATAGGTGAGTCTATCAAGAGTACTCCTGTAGCCTAGGTACTCCCTCATACAGAGTATAGATTTCATTAAGAGTTTCTATTATCTCATCCTCTAATTACTTCAGGATTCATGCTTTACTTGCATGATAATCTCATATTACTCATAACTTGTTATTACCCATTGAACCTATTTCTTGGGATCTCCAATCATTTAGGTCGGGTTACCATCATGAGAAACTCATTTCTATATAGGCATTAGTCTCATGATATATTATAGACTTTCTCTCTAGCTAATCCTTTCGTCAAAGGATATGCTAAATTTTCATCGGTGTGTACATGATCCACTCTTACAACTCCTTTAGAGATATAGTCTCTAACAATGTTGTTCTTTCTTCTAATTTGACGTCTTTTACCATTATAATAATGGTTCTCAGTTTTTGCAATAGCCGCGGTACTATCGCAGTGGATCAACACAACTGGCATGGATTTTTCCCATAAGGAAATATTAGTTAGCAGGCATATTTTAACTAACTTTCTTCTTCACTAGCAATCGCTAACGTTATCATATCAGACTCCATTATGGAATGAGCCATGATACTTCGTTTCCTTGATTTCTAAGATACAACTCCTTTAGCTATGGAATACATAGCCACTAGTTGCTTTGGAATCATCTAATAATATGTTCCAATCTGTATCACTGTACCCTTCAAGTACAGCCAGAAATTTCTGATAATGTAAACTGAGATATATGGTCCTTTTAAGGTACCTCATGACTCGCTTAATAGCTTGTCAATGCTCGTAACTCGGTTTACTCGTAAACCTGCACAATAATCCCACTGCATATGCAATGTCGGATCTAGTATAATCAGTGACATACCTAAGATTGCCAATGATGCTCGCATATTTTGTTTGTCTAACACTTTCACCAGTGTTCTTAAACAGTTTCACACTTGGATCATAAGGTGTGCACCCAAGTTTACAGTCGAAGTAATTATACTTCTTTAAGATCTTTTCCACATAGTGTGATTTATCCAAGGAGATGCCTTGTTCTGATCTCGTGATCTTGATACCAAGGATCACACTTGCTTCACCGAGATCTTTCATATCAAAGTTGTTGCACAACAATGATTTCACTTCATTGATGGTCTGAATGTTTGACCCAAATATGAATAGGTCGTCTACATAGAGACATATGATAGTGCAAATGTGATTCTCATATTTGTAATAAACACATTTGTCACTTTCATTCATCTTATACCCATTTGATATCATTAAGTTGTCAAACTTTTCATGTCATTGCTTCCGAGCTTGCTTCAGCTCATACAAAGACTTGTCTAACTTACAGACCTTGTTTTCTGGTCCATGGATCACAAAGCCTTCCGGTTGTTCCATATAGATTTCTTCTTCTAATTCACCATTGAAAAAAGTTGTCTTAACATCCATTTGGTGTACTATTAAACTATAAATAGCAGCTATTGAGATAAGTACCCTAATGGATGTCATTCTGGTGACCGGAGAAAAAGTGTCGAAGAAATCTATATTCTCTCTTTGTCTAAAACCCTTGGCTACAAGGCGAGCCTTGTATTTATCAACAGTTCCATCAGGTTTTAGTTTCTTTTTCAAAACTCATTTACAACCGATTGGTTTGCATCCAGGAGGCAAGTCTACTGAGTGACAGATCTTGTTAGATTCTAGAGAATCTATCTCATCATTAATAGCTTCTTGCCAGATATCTGCATCCAGAGATGACAAGGCTTCTTGAAGATTCATTGGATCTTCCTCTACATTATAGGTCGCATAATTCTTCCCATAGTCTTTAGAAACTCTTACTCTTTTACTTCTTCGAAGTTCTGTTTCTACATCGTCGTTGCTTTTTGTGCTTCTTATCACATGAATGTGACTCGATTGAGTGCCCCCACTATTTCTCGATTTGAAAGGAAATTTTTTTCTTCATAGAATTCAACATCATTTGATTCTATGATCACTTTTGCATTTAGGTCATAGAACCTATATGCCTCACTGTTTGCTTCACACCTAATGAACACACATTCATAGGCTCTATTAGCAAGTTTAACTCGCTTCGTATCCTGAATTCTGACATATGCCAGACAAACCCAAGTTCTTAAATAAGACAATTTTGGTTGTCTTTTCTTTAATATCTCATAAGGAGAGATATTACTTTTTAACTTGGGAACTCGATTCAGGACATAGCAAATAGTCAACAAAATTTCCCCCACCAGTGAGAAGCAACACCAAAATTTAATATAATTGCAACAACAAGTTCAATAAGAGTTATATTCTTTCTTTCTGCTTTACCATTCATTTCAAAAGAGTATGGTGCAGTCATTTCATGTACAATTCCATGTATAAAATTTATCAAACAAACTAGAATCATATTCAGTTCTCCTATCACTACGAAGTCTCTTAATCTTCTTACTAAGTTGATTCTCAGTTTCAGTTACATACATCTTAAACATGTGAAGTGCTTCATTTTTATTCTTCATTAAATATACATAAGTATAATCAGAATAATAGTCAATAAAATAACATTTACTATTTCTAGTTAAAGTTCCATGTAATTCACATATACCATAGTGTATAAGGTCTAGGGGATCAGATCCTTTAATAATTGATTTTTAAATTCTTTACAAAGTTTTTAAACATATCAATTTCATTCACAAAAATGTCATTCTTTGTAATGGTGTACAAATCTACCCCAATGGACTGACTAAACTATGCCTTATATAAAAGAAAACCAGAAACAAAATTCTTCCTAATCTCAAGAACATGTATGACGTCCTTCGAGATTAAAGTCTTTCTGGAGGTGAAATTCAACTCCATTTCTCCAATTCTAGCAACATTAGTGGTGTGGACATATCCCAACAACACTTTCTTATCTTTAGTATTCGTGTATGTTTTAAACATAACACGATCATAACAGACACGATGAGAAACACCAGTGTCTATCCACCAATCATCAAATTCATCAACCGTGTTGATTTCAATTAACATAGAAATAAATTTCCCATTAGTCAGTTTGACCTATGCATTAGGGGTAGCACCAGGTTCAAGCCTCTTCTACATTTCTTAATCTTATGACATGATTTTCCATGGTTAAAACAATGGAAAACAACATCATTTCTTTGAGGTGGTGATTGTTGCCTAGTTGGAGCAATTGAGACCATAGAAAGGATCTCATTCTTAATTCGGATCACAACATTGCAGTTCTGATTCTTTAATCATTTTCCAAATGGCTTCAGAACTACACCGAATTTTTATTTGTTGTTTAAAACAACCAAGACTTTTCTTCTTGATATTGTCTCTAAGATTCCTCTTTTTTTAACTCAAGGAGAATAATCAGATTCTAAAAAATACATCTAAATACATACCTTTAGTGATGACCTCATGAGAATTCTTTTTGAAGTTCATAACTTTGAGTATCCACAGATCTTTCATCTACCATCTGATACTTTTCGTAGTTGCTAAAATCATTCTTTTGTTCTCCAGCTTCTTCAATACTTGTTTTTCATAGCCTCGTAAACTTGTTTTCGAGTATCGCAATTATTGTAATAATCATATAGATCATTTGCGAGTCCATTTAGAATGTTATAATCATTCTCTTTCTATAAGGAGATTTCTTCCTTTAGCTGTAAATCCTTCTCTTTAATCTATGTTGTAAATTCAGATTCATTGAAATTAATAATTCAATCTAAGTTCATAGATTTCTTTCTATTCGTTTGTTCAACTGATCCAAGTGGAACAGTAGGAATGTCATCGGTCAAAATATTGACAAACTTCTTTATGGTTTGGAAAAACCTCACTTTTGTTGCCAACTTTTGAAATGCACTCCTTCAAACTAGAACGGTTTGTCCGAGACAATCTTAGAAGTACCGATAATTTCTTCAATAGCCATGGCAGTTTGAATCGTCTTAAAATTGTTGGTTCATGATTTTAAAAATGTTGCCACTGAAGAAATTACCGGGTTGAGTCGCGGATCAGTTCGCTCTCTTTAAGACGTTTCGCGATACTGCCCAAAATTATGCAAAGCAGTCGAACTACCACGCCGCCTCCAGGATAAAACAGCCCAGTTCTATACTGTACGATTACTACTTGCACGATAGATAATCGGTCTAGAAATACACCCTCTAATGGTACTAAGACCATTCAAATATGGTATAAATACCACCGTAGTATCTGATATATTTACCAGTCATAAATATTTCTCAAACCAAGAGAAATTTCAATAATTCTTCAAAGAGAATTCAATAATGATCATTTTTGATCACTCAAAGATTTCTCAAACAAAGAGAAATTCGAATAATTCTCTAAAGAGAATAAAAAAAATTATACTTGAAAATTTCTCAACTCAAACGAGGAGAAATTAACATTATTCTCTATAAAGAAAATTCAAGAAAATACTCGGAAAATTCAACGAGTAGAAAGAAAGGGGAAGAAGTTGGCGCATCGACAATTCGAAAGACGCAGAGTTATGAGAGTGAGGAAGAAAAAACTAATAAAATGTTTTTGGTGTATTTTGTAAGGAAACAAGTGACTTCCTTATATAATAAAGTGAGATGGTTAATATTTCTCACATGAGCAATGTGGGACTAAATGAATTTTTTTTTTTTAATTCAATATGGAACATGGACATGTTCCAACAATTCCACTTAGTCAAATTTGGGGACTAGTATGTTATCTTCTTTTTATTCTATTCAGTATAACTTGTTTGTGTAAAGTTCGTCTATTATGGGATAAGCTTTTTTAGATCACGGAAAAGAATAAAAGAACAATGATATTTTCCCCTTGATACATTACATTACTCCCATGGACTCAATGAACACTCTTCAGGCAAAGTCGGAAAACGTTCCGAATCATTGCAATAATCATAAATCACTAGGTTTCTTTGAACCCAAGCATAATCCATTTTCTGATCACCTGATAGATGCCATGAACCATATTGATCCCACCAGTTTTTTGTTGTGGTTGAAACACATTTAGGATATGGATCTTCCCATTGACAAGCATCCACACTAAAGTCTTTGTAGGATGACACAAACGGTGCTAATTTCCAATTCGTTTTTTCAAGTCCACCTCTCGTCGCCCATTCGTCCGCATTCCATACACTTGAAAACAAGTACATTGGTTTCTCATTCGGGAAGAAATCGTTCGGTTTCTCGTTGTTCTTGAATACTCTTATCGGAACTCTGTCCACAAAAAACCTGTTTCCAATTCATTTGTAAAATTCAGTAAACAAATTTTCAATCCACCTTAGCTAAGAAAGAAATACTAGAAACTAGAAAAATGACTTATAAGAATTAAGATCACAATTAGGATCGAACTTACACTAGCTGGTGATTATTCCACAGGATTGAATATGTGTGATAATCTTCAGTTGGATCAAACCATAGCATATGTCTCATCTCGCGATTACCGGTTCCATTCTTGTACACATTTGTCTGAACCAAATATGGTTGTCCTGTTCTGTTTCCCAGAAACTCAAAATCAATTTCATCTCTTGTTGGCCCTGCACCATTTTCTGAACACATCTGCAAGAACAATTACTCACCAAATTGAATTCACAGAAACACAAAAAAGTACTTAACAGAAAAAACACTTTTAATAGTGTACTTACATAATAAGCTGTGACAACACCAGCAGAATCACCTCCTACCAATTTCAGCTTCATACTAAACCACCCAAATCTATATCTTTGTTTTGTTTGAAATCCACATCCTGTTAAAACCAAACCATAACATAAGTCTCATTAAGCTAACTCAATTCATTTGGTAGCTGTTCAAGACATCATATACATAAATGCGGGTACAAAGTACATGCAACAAAGTGTTCATAAATGAATGTTGTTTATGATGCATGTGATTTGATTGATACCTGTGTTATTGTCTAAGGAGAGATTCCAGATCTGTCCATCATCAGAGGTAGTGAAATGATCTTCAGACCACATTATGCTGAAATTATCTTCAAAAGATCCCTTAGTCATAGCTGCTTCAGCTGGATCATAATAAGCAGCAGCTATGATAGCTGCAATGAAAAGAAGAATGGAAAATGAAGATCTTGCATCCATTTTGTGTGTTGGATCTCTGAACTCGAGGTTTGGAAGTTCATTAAATAATACTAGATTTTGAAAATGGTTTCTGCATATACAGTTGTAACATCATATGCAATTGTTCTACTTTGTTTAACTTATTTTCATGTGATGAATGTACCAATTTGCCCATTCACTTATAAACATCATGACTCTTAAGTTTTTATATAAAAAGACATCGAAAACAAAATATTGAAAATGATACGTTGATATCGATGATAATTTAAAAATTAAATAAATTAAACATAATTATAAAGTGTCTGTTTTGAACACCAACACCATGTATTATTTGCAACAATGACAAGGATTTTTAAGGGTATATTGGTAAATGGTGTAAGACAATAATGCAATTTTCTTTTAGAAAAAGTGAGACATGGTAATATAGAAAACAAATGTGGGAGTGGCCAGTGGGACCTTAGCCAGGCTGCATTTTGCAAATTGCAATGGTTGACATGACTAAAATCTACGAACGAAAATTGAGACGGTGTTGAGGTTCGGTCATTAATGCAGTTTTTTTATTAGGAAATATTCTATAATACACTTTTTTTTAATTAAAAAATCCAATACCTTATTTTTAGGGAAGTGATAGTAAGTTGATATCATTTTGTACACCTACACCGTATTTATAATGTACATGATATATATACTATTTTTTATAAGTTTATTATTTTTTGATCTTTGTGCAAGAATATTTTTCTTTGTTAAAATTTATTATTTCAATCTGATTTATATGTAAAAAAGATAAATTTTATATTTATTAAAAAAGATAATTGATTATATTTATTTTTTGATTTTATGTAAAAGAGAAAATATAGTTATTAATATAAAAATAATTTTAGAATATAAATATTAAACGTATCTAAATTTATAGATATTTGTTCATATTTAAAGCTAAAAAAATTAAAAAACTTTTACTTATAAATAAGATCGGAACAAATATGCTATATGATACCATGTGGAAAAAAAGGTGTTAAAATAGCATACCTCTATGTTTAGGTTTTTTAAAAGGAATTTACCAAATCAAATGGCATGGCCGAAGTTGCTTGTTTAAACATTTTTTTCAAGATTTCTTTTAGATTTTGATTTTCCTCTAAAAATTTATATTTATATAATCTTTAAATTTTCTTGTATAGAAAACTTAGCACTAAAATTGTTATTTTTTTTTAGTTTCTTGATTTAGGATAGAAAATGGATTTTCTAATATACTCAAGTTAGAGTGATTTTTACTATTTTTCACCTCATGATATTTCTAACCATTAAAATGCTTCTATTTGACGTCTAACAAATAAGCTGTTAGAGGGAGGTGGCAGTGGTTGTAGGTGGCGACGACACTGTGACACAGAGAGGCAACAACAACAAAGTAATGACGAGCGAAGTTGGAAAAAAGATGAATTATCGGAGGTGACAGGTGGAACTGACAGTAGGTGACATCAATAGAAGGTAAAGATTTGAGGATTTTTAGGTTTTCATCATTCTCAGCAATTTTATTTCCTTTCTTCTTTCAATTTCAATTTTATTTCTTGGAAAAAATAAGTTGAAGCGTATGAGCATTTTGAAAGACCGTACGATTAAAAAGTGGTGATAGTCATTCTAACTTTTATGAGTTTATATTAGAGAATATGTTTTCGGATGGGAAACTCTTATACATCTCATAATTCTCTTGAGTCAGGTATTGTAGCCAGATATGTCGATCAATGCTAAGGTGATAGAGGTCAACTAATTATGGCCTAACTGTAACTGTGATGTTTTGTATTCGTCTGGCAGACAACACTAGGAAAAGATTGATTATGCAGAACATCTGGTTCCCACGTGGTCGATTATCTACAGCTTCATATCATGGCTAAAATACCTGATACAAGCTAATCCAAATCGTTAGCAGCAAGCTTAGGAGGTTGAAGGCAACTTGGCCACCATCGTCAGTTGAATAGGTGATTATCATGTAGCTCGTCGCCACCATCAAAAGATAAGCGATTCTCACGCATTGTATTTCAACTTATAATGAATTAAGTGGAACATTGGTAACCTGTAGAGTATAAATATGCTATAAGGAGCACCCTCTGGTTTCCAATTTTATGAGTTTACCAAAATTGATGACACGAATTTATACATAGCTATAGTTTATACTGATATGGATAATGTTAAACTTGTTGGCAGTAAGAATTTCATAAGCTTTAATTCAATGGTTTCTTAAATAGACAGCTATACATGGAAATCCACCCCATTATGGAATCTGTTGAAAGATCGTGGGATATTCCAACTGAAGCCACGCTGGTTTGGAGGAAGAAAAACCTTGCGTCCACCGTCACTGAAAGATAAGTATTAAACCATATTGCACGGCTGTTATTGCTATACCAAGTGATGCAGGGGCTGAACCGAATCATACAACTAGTATACCGAACATTGCAACAAAAACAATGGAGTTAAAGCTACTAAGTCTAAAGGATATGAAGTTGTTGGACAATGTAATCGGTCCTATTCCCGATAACTAATCACTAAAGGATCTCATCGTCGACAAAGATATGTAAAGCATATTTACATGTGATCAGTCAACGTCTTATGATTCCTAAAACGTCTTCGTGTTCATCATCATAATTATATCATAACTCTTTTGTTTGTCATTATATAAAATCAAGAACTTTGATATGCGTCATAAACCATATTTATTATGAGCTGAGCTACATAATGACCTTTGGAATGGCTGATTACAAAATAAGTTTTTTATAAAGAATATAGTGGTGAATTCATAATGATACAACAAGCTCTATGGGCCCCTAAAGATTTGGTTTACAGGGGCAGGTTCTCAGTTTAAAGCACACTGTACCGAAATAGCCAAAGAGTATGCTACTGCCAAATCGGGGATCAGAAATGGATTGGCATAAGTGGAAGGAAATAAGATATGGATGGCTCTGATCAACCCATCAGCTTACTCGAGAATAAGTTTCTTTCAGCTGGTTCTCTCCACTGCGCCGCTCGAATAGGTTCTTGAAGCTGAGATAAACACGAGTTGTTGCTGCCACCAGAACGAGTTGACGTCTTCAACAAGGCTTTCGATCTCGGAAAAAACTAGTGATACCCATATAGGTGCATCCAAGTTAGTAGTAACTCGCGGCGCTGAGGCCGCAATTAAAAGGTAAGTATCTCTTGCACATTCTATTGACTAAACATGCTAAAACTATTGTTTGTTTACAAAGCTATGGGTTACAGTTATCATGGATGTTGTGATCTATAAATTAATTATCATTCATCTTCCATGAATTCGTAACTCTCCTTTTTTATAATGTATTGATACAAGTAACTCTGTCTTATCGAGACCGTCACACAACGAAGTTAATATCATGTATACATATAGCGAGCCGCCCTCAAGATATGCACGTCATGTCAATAGCTGTCGGTCTCATACAAGCCAGAAAGCACATGATTATCGCATAAAGTGATAGACATTATCAACAGGTACCAGAAGCTAAGGAGATGCAAGCAAGTCGACTAATATGTCTGTGCTACGGTCATATATATTTCGGATGATTCGGAGGATTGCTAAGGTCAAAAAGTTCATTCAAATGGCGTTGATACTCAGATAAGTTTCTCGTCACGTTTATCTTAGCTGATTCTAAATTACATGTCTAGTTTGTTACTCTAAGACATATTCAGGTTTATTTCCCATGTGTTTGATGAAAAACCCGAGTAACACCACGCCTATCTCTACTGCATTTCATCGTCTGAGCACTACAAAGTTATATCAGAACTTCTAATTTTGTGATAATACATTATTGTTTCTTAGGAGAACTATCAATGTGATTGTGCAAGACCATAAAAAGGCTGTGGATTATGTTCAACCGGTTGTTACTTCCGTAGGTTTAGATTCAGGTATTATCGATGGAGCATCACGATTCTCACTTAATCATTTAGCCCGAGAATGCTGGAGTTGAGTGAATGAACAGGGAGAATAAATCATGAAGCCGAAGACACCGGCTTTACAGTCACCAGTCACCTCCAGATCATGGTCCCGGCAGGTGGTGTTCGACAACAAAGTATCCAACACAGAAAGATAAGTTGTTCTTACTAGTTTTTGTTACTGCAGTAATGACGAAGTGTCATTAAAACGCATGTTTGATGTTTATATTGATGGTATCATGTGAGTTTTTCTCAATGCTTCTTTAGTAGCCAAATGGCCATTGGTTTAGTAAAAAGAAAATGCAGATTGTTATTTCTCAAAATGCTTACTGTTGTCGAGATACCTTTACGTGACATCCGCAATACACATAGGTTGTTAATTCTTGCACGGTTACATAAAATATAGCCTTGTAAGTCCATGAAAATGCATCATAGATTGAAGGATCTTGAAAATGATGATTGCGATATGGAACTAATTATTGCTCATGTGTGGGTATACTTAACTTTGGGGAGAAGTGAAATTATTTTTGAATAAATCTTACTCACACAATAAGTGAGTACCTGTCTATATCATGAGACGTGACGGTGTTACGAGACCAGGAATTTAAAAGGATAAACATAATATGATTGCATATAAAATGCCATAACATGTCATATTACACGTTTTTTATTATTATTATTTCATTCATGGATGTGTATTGTTCCAATGAATGGTTTTTAGTTGGGAAATTACCTGACTGTCTTAATATCATAAACTGTCAATTAAATGTGTCATGGGAATGTGTCATGGGATAACGTTCTTGGAAGATGATGTATTAACACTTTGAGGATAGCTTGTGAATTTGTTATACGGGAATATATAAACCGGTCTCTCAACTTGCATATTTGTTATCAAATATTTATACTTTTAGCTAACTTGATTTCTTGTGTAACCCAAAAAAGTAGAGATATTATTGGAAGTAAACAAGAAGCAGAGTCTTCCTTAGCTGGGAAGGCTCTGGGTTGAAGCGTTTTATCTTGTTCCGATAAAGCCTCACACTTGCGGAATTATATAGATATTCCGGTCAGGTATAGACATCATGGTTATGTATAAGGTGCACTGGTGAAATACAACAAGTGTGCCAACAAAACAAGGAGAACCTGACACATATTATGCTAAGAAGAAATCAAGATGACACAGGTCAGAGACAACAAAAGCCAGGGCCGAGAACGAGGACAAATGTCTAATTATGATTTTGCTTATTGAAAGGCGAGATACTGTTTCTACCATTTTTCTAATTATGTAAAGAACTCGTTAGAATTACATTAAAGTAATCGGTGTCGTCCTTCTCCCTGGCGTGGGCGGGAGGCACCCTATTCTTATTAGGTCTCAAAACTAGGTGGAATTCAAACAAAATGTAACATCACTGTAAATAGTAGGAAGACGGTTAACCTCACCTTCGGAAAAAGGGGCTCTAACCGGATTAAGTCGACGCGTACTCAAAGTCTCTCGCGCTGTTAACCTCGCCTTCGGGCAAAGGGGATCTAACCGGATTAGATCGATGCGTACTCTAAGACTCTTGCACGGTCCACCTCGCCTTCGGGCAAGAAGGTTTGACCGAACTAAGTTGATGCATACTCTAAGCCTCTCGCACAGTCCACATCACCTCCAGGAAAGAAGGTTTGACCGGACTAAGTTGATGCATATTCTAAGTCTCTCGCACGGTCCACCTCGCCTTCGGGCAAGAAGGTTTGATCAGACTAAGTCGATGTGTACTATAAGCCTCTTGCACGGTCCACCTCGCCTCCGGGCAAGAAGGTTTGACGACATTAAGTCGATGCGTATTCTAAGCCTCTACACGGTTGTTGGCTGAAGATTTTGAATATAATTTTTAGAAGTCAAATGAATTAAACGTTTCGATCGAAATGAAGTAAAACGTCATGTTTCGAAGTAGCAGAAGCAGTGTTTCGAATAAGCATGTCAAAGCTGGAGCTTCGAATGGTAATTATGGGAACATATCTAAAGAAGTCTCGAAATAACAACAAGGCTGTGTCTGGGAAGTGCGTTCGAAACGGAGAAATACCAAAGCATTTGAAATTCAAATGGAAGCGAGACATTCGAAGTTTGAAATTTATGTGCTGGAGCATTTGGAGACACGTGGAAAGAAGAAAGAGGCATTGTTCTGCATGTTCTGAACGTGGCATAATCCTATAGCAAGACCGTTATGGTCGAATTAGTATAAATAGAAGTCTTAGTATTAGGATTTCGTGTGTCATATCTATTGTACTAAATATTCAGTAACATTCAAACTACCACATGGCAAGGGAAACGAATGCAAGAGCAATGTACGTATGATAGCACCATATACATTTATGATTTAATGAAAACCTTTTACCATTTCCAGCACTTTCCTTTATCTTTCTGTCAAATAACATTTACAAGTTTTCTCATTTACAGTCTTTTCACTTCGAAATCTCTTCTTTAAAGTTTTACATTTTAATGCTTTCTTCACATTTCAAGCACTTTACATTTCAGAAAACTGTCATATTTTCTATGCCTTTACCTTCAAGTCTTATCCTTCGAACGCATATTTTTACTTAAAGTCATTTACAGATTTCTTGCATTAAACGCTTTCTTCATATTTCAAACCTTTTACGTTCCAGAAATCCTTTACATTAACTGTTTTTATAATTCGAAACCATTCACTTGCCTTTTATGCAATTTTATATGTCTTTACAATTAACATTTATTCATGCAACTTAGTTTCGTACACGCACATTTTGATTACATCTTTAGACCTTTTGAGAGAGAAATCGAAATAAGCCAAACACATATACAACACTCAAATATCAATCATGAATATCTGTTCGATCATGAGAGTAACCTTAATGTCCAAGGAATCCTAGGATCAATCTAGTCGATCCTGTGAGTTACCAGAGGAATTGAATAACAGTCAGAAAGATTATTCGATAGTTTGGAAGACTAGCGGTTGTTTACCAGAAATCACTGGAAACAAATTGGCACACCCGGTGGGACCAATAATTGGATATTAGAAATAAAGATTGTTGAGACATAACCATTACAAAAAACGTTGGAACCTAAGAAGTTTGCTGTTTTATGAACCTGAGAAGTGGTAAAATAACCAACAGCAACTAACCTTTATCCAGAAGAAAACGTTTGGACAAAATGTCTAATTCTGACAATCAACAAGGGGAACAAAATGCCCCACATACAACAGGCACTAATGTGTCCACTTCGATCGGAACATCTAATGTGATCCCTTCGAATGCACAGTCTGTTGCATCTTCAACCAGTAATATAGCCACCAATGGAGTAAGTGGCATATCAACTAATAGTTCGATCTTAAGAAATACTGGAACCATTGGTTACCCTGGGGGATTCGTTCCATCATCAGGGACACAATCCCATTTCGCCACTCCATTAACTAGACCACCCGGTTTCGATGGGAATAGAACCAGAAATTCCTCTTATGAAATGCCAACATCTTTTATGGCAGGTTTACACAATTCCACATCGAATTCATCCCCACAACTAGGGTCTGGGTCCGGGGCGAATCAGTTTATGACAAATAACCAAGGGTCAGTGGGCTATAGCACAATGCCTATCTTAACCACAGATAACCAGTTGGCTTTTAGGCAATTGATGGATGACAGTAACCATAATATGATAGGGTGTTAGCACAAACCATGCAGGAGATATTTGCCCCAATAGTGCAAAATGTGACTGTGACAAACAGAGAAAACGCTGACAATATGAGTCGAATAGCAGATTTCTTTGCTCCCCCAGAAAGGCGTAGGCAGAATCAGGCGGGATTTCGAGCAAACATGCCTGTTATAGAACAAATTGCTAACGACCCCATTTATAGACCACCCAGAGAAGAAGTTAACTTAGGGGCCAGGGCACCAAGGTTAGAAGCCCCAATAATCCCAGGCCCACAAAGAGAAATTATGGAACCAGGGGCAAGGGTCGAAAGGCTAGAAGCCCCAGAGTTTCGAGAAGAACAACCTAGGGGAGTTGTCTTGGTTGGTCGAAATCAAGATGCCGATGCTGTCGTTCATAGAATTCGAAACGATAACATCTTGGCAGAAAACAATCTAACCACCATGATAGAGAGAGTCATGGCCCACAATGGCCTCAACACAGGAATGAGAAGGCCAAATTATGCTTCTCCTATATTGGATTGCATAATGCATACTGATTTACCAAGGGGATATAAAGTCCCTAAATTTACAAAGTTCGCTGGGGACACCAATGAGTCAACAGTCGAACACATAGCGAGATACCTAACCGAAGCGGGAGATATAGCCAATAATGAAGATCTCAGGATCAAATACTTCCCAAGTTCCTTGACTAAAAACGCCTTCACATGGTTTACCACTTTGCCTCCCGGGTCCATTGATACTTGGGCTCTCTTAGAGAGATTATTCCATGAACAATTTTACATGGGACAGTCGAAAATAAGCTTGAAGGAATTGGCCAGTGTTAAGAGAAAGTTCACCGAACCCATAGATGATTATCTGAATAGATTTAGGCTTTTGAAATCCAGATGTTACACAATAGTGCCTGAACATGAGTTAGTCGAAATGGCCGCTGGTGGCTTGGATTATTCTATTCGAAAGAAACTAGACACTCAATATTTGAGGGATATGGCTCAGTTAGCCGATAGGGTTCGACAGGTCGAAAGACTAAAGGCCGAAAAAGCCAGAGTCTTTAAGAATAGCAAGAAAGAAAGGATTTCCTATGTTGGGACTGAGGAAGCAGAAGAATATCATGAATTCGAATTCGAAGAGGTCGAAATCGACCTCGCTGAATTAAAACAGGCCCCGCCTTATTCCTGCAAATTGTTGGTTCCCACAAAAGAGAAAGACATTGTTGAAAATGAGAAAAGTGACAAATTTCCAAAGAAGGTTTATACCTTCGATGTCACTAAATGTGACGAGATTTTTGACTTACTTGTCAAAGATGGCCAACTAATTGTGCCATCAAATGTCAAAATATCTCCTTTGGATCAGAGAAAGAAGAGAGGATTTTGCAAATATCATAGTTTCCTAGGCCACAAAACCTCACAATGTTTTCTTTTCAGGGACCTAATTCAAAACGCGATCAAAGATAGCAGACTAAAGTTTGTTGATAAGGTGAAGATGAAAGTGGACGAAGATCCCTTGGACGTCGCAGACACCAATTACTCCGAGCCTGCATGTATTGGAGAGGTCAACATGGTGGAAACTGATCAAAGCGACGCCCTAACAGGAGAGAAGGGTACTGAAATTGAAAACTGGGTGATGGTCGAAGTCAATAAGGAGGTCACTGAAGACATCCAGAATACGCCAGAGACTTCGATTGCCGCACCTGTAGCTGTTGCAAGAGAAACCCAGGCTACTGAAGGCCAGGGAAATCAAAACCAAGAACTAACACAAGTCACTGAAGGCTTGAGGCTGGAATTGGAGAAAATCCAAATCACGAAGCCAATTTCCCCTCAGAAGGAAATATGGGACACTCTAGGGGAACCCAGTGGAAAATTTGACTATTTGGTCAAATATTCTGCCCCAGAGAGTTCGAAGGTTCAGATTAAGGATATAAAGCCCACAGGATGGGGCGGTGATGAAGCTAAGGGGGAAGATGTTGAAATAAATATGGTGGATATGGAGAGGCCTCGCTCTGAGATGGAGGAAGTAGAAAAATACTTAGAAAAAGAAAAGTATAGAATGGAGGATAATCACACTGGAGATGCTAGTCTCAAGGATTACCTCATGACATGCCACAAAGGAGATTCAGGCATGATATTGTGCCCTAGGTGCAGCATCCTCTGCAATCAAAGAATCGCTGCGAATTTCGAAAGGGTACAGAGGACTCGAACTGGCAACAATTGGCGCCAGGATAACCAGCTTTTTAGGTGTTATCCCAAGGCTGGAGAAAGTTTGCTGGAATTTGTGTTTCGCTGCTACAAAGGGGCAACCAAGTGCTTGATTTGCCCAAGGTATTCTGCTGTGTATGACCAAAGCATGGCCAGAGCCTTCGAAACGATTCCCTTCGCCCCTTGCTGGAACCATCAAGAAACTGTCCAGATGGGCCCACGTTTCGACAGCAGACACAAACAGCGAAGGCCTGATAGCCCTCACCCCAAGGCTGCTCGAAGAGTGACTTTCAAACTCCCTGCTGAAGTGCCAACCGATAGATGGTTACAGGTCAGAAATGACAAAGGCAAAGATAGATGGAGAAACGCTGAACGAAATGCACGCCATGCTGTGACATACAAGAGGCAATTCAACACAGCAAAAAGGGAGGAGGTGAGATTAGAAAATTACAAAGGAAGGAACCCCATGTCAAGATCCCAGTGGCGCAGACAACAAAGGATTCGAAAGGCTGAGAGGGAAGCTGTGGCAAACAAAGGGGTTACTTCAACAAAGAACCAAGGTGAGTCTAACACCAACAAACCAAAAAATCAAACTGAAGACAAACCTCCAGTCAATAGGAGGCTTTTCTCTGAAGTACAACGCGATGAACCAAAGGAATACACTCCAGGCCCGGAAGAGGACGAAGATATGATAACAGATAACTTCGAATCGGAGGGGGAGTCTTCATTTAACCTGAACTGTAACGTGGTGTCTGTGCTTCCCTGCGAATTTGGGCAGGAAACCGAAATCGATGAGTATGAGGAGGAAGACACCACAGATTTGATGAAACATAGGCCTGTGTGCTACTATGTGATGGACAATGAGGCTGTTGAGGAACAAAATGCGTTCTTCGAACGTCCAGAACCTGCTATGAAGAACCATCTCAAGCCACTTTTTATTCGGGCGAAAGTTGGTGTCCATGGTGTGAACAAAGTTCTAGTGGATGGGGGTGCTGCAG